TCTTAATGCTGTTGTAAGTCCATACATTTGCCATAAGTATCTCCCCTGATAATAGCCATTAATCCATATGGTAGAAGAAAATGAGGAAAAAAAAATTAAAAAAAAATCAAAAAAAGCCTGAATCTGCCAACATTTGGTTTACTGTTTTTGTTGTTGTTGTTGTTGTTGTTGTTTTGGTTTTTTTCTGTTTTTTTTTTTTTTTTTTTTTTTTTTTGCCAAAGTATGTCTTGGGTGGGGTATGGAAAAAGCACCTATATGCAATCAGCAGTGCCTCCAAGACACTCTCCCAGTCCCAGCAAAACATTCTTCCATGCCTCTAATTTTCTTGCATTCTAAAAATGCCTGCCAGCCCTGCAGCTTATGAGACAATTCTGTTCCAACTAGATTAAAAAAAAAAAAAAGAGAGAGAGACAATTTCTGGGGACCACTCTTAACTCCAGAATCTCCAGCTCAGTAGCTCTATTCAACCTGTTCTGCTTACTGCTCAGTCCCAATTACAAGGAACTAGCTCACTGCTCAGTCCCAATTACAATGAAAGCATTTAATTTCCTCTTTGATTTCCCTTCAACAACAGATTGCAACTTGTGACACTTGAGGTAATTTTGGTTGCTCATTTAACACACACTGAAACCTGAATATCTGCTGATTATGTTCCCAAGCTCCGGCTCATTGCAATAAAGAATGGAGAAAGGAGAGGCAATCTCTAGAGATTGAGAATCTGAACATGATTACTGCTGGCTGAAAACTTGTTTTCTCTCCGTAGTCTTGGGGTAGAGCTAGAGTCTTTCATGAATGATTAATGTACTAAAGGCTGATCAATGAAACACTGTCCTAAATACATCTATAACCAATTCAGGTGGAGAACGAGGAAGACTATCCAGCTGGTATCTTCTAATTTACAACTCTTGTAGTGAAATAGAGTAATTCATCTCATTTACTATGTCTGGTTTCCCAAGTACATAAACTTTTTTCTACTTCCCCATTTCCTACTTAGCATTAAAGTTACTGAATGATGGGATGACCTCCAGTAGCTTTATTCTAACTGAGGAGAACACTACTCCATGAGTAATCTCATTGATTCCAAGAAATGAAAACTCAGGATTCTAACCGTTACTATTGATCACAACTGAGTATAGCTCAGTCACTTACCAGCAGAATATTAGGCATCTTAAGTCTTGAAGGTCTTCAAATTGGTAGCAATATCAAAGTACAAACTTAATTCTTAGCCGTAATTTCTGTAAATGGTAAAGTTACTTTCAGGAATATGCATAGCATATTCTCAACTTCTTTCCTGATGGATGATAAGTTGTCCTCACTAAAGTTTGTAGCAACATAGAAGAAAATGCAAAATAAATTGCACAATCAAAAAGTAAGCTATTAAAAATAGTGGTGCAGGCAATAAATTGTATAGTAAGTTTTGCTTACATAAATGATAAACCCTTTTGCTTACATTGTTATGTAGATAATACCAGCCTATTAGAAGCGTAATAAATCACAGAAAGCTATTTCCATAGTGCAAGGTTTCTCAAACTGTGGGCCATGACCCCTCCCCTGGCGACTCATGGTAGGATTTGAGTGGGGTCACAGAGAACCTATTAGCAGGAATCGAGGGCAAATACTTCCCTTTTAGGTGAGCAGGCCAGTCCTCTGACAGGGCATGGAAAGAACAGACTGTAATTAGTGACTGCAAGTATTTATACATGGTAGGGAACTGCTAATTGCCTTTAATTACAACAGCTCACTTTCTCTAGGAGAGGACAGCAATATAGTTTAGAATTAAAATTGCCAAATAGTTGCTAACTGCCTTTCAGTAAAGGCAATAGATCCGTTTCTCCAGGGAGGAAGAGAAAACTTAATCACTTGCAACTCAGTCTCCTATCTACATCATTTAGAAATGGGATTGTTAGCAGCCTGAGGGTCATTCAAAAATACAACCAATATTATATGGCTGCATTTTCTAACACTGTGAGAAAGCCATCAGTACCTTCATATATAGAATTGCCACCATCAAGTAAAGAGTGAGTCGCTCCATACTATTTGCAGTGCATCCTAGTGAAGAAGATCATATGTTAAAGGACATCTAAAGAGAAGTCAATTGAAAAATAGAACAATGTTGCTGAAAAGTACTCGTACCTTTCTCTCTGCTGCCCTGTCTTTCATGTGGATGCATTTTCTTGCCCATAAAGAATAACTTGCTCAAAATTGTCAATCCCTGGACATAATAAGATTGAAACTAAAGACTGGTACCTGGGGCGGCAGTTTGGTACCACATGGGCTGGCACGTTTGAGCACTCTGAAATAAATTAAGACAAGAGAGCCATCTTGTCTTCTCGCCTCATTTCCTTGCTGAGACCAGCTTTCATCTAGACTGCAAGAAAAAGTACTCAGAGCTTCTCTATCTTTCAAAATTTGAGATTTTAAGGAAATAAAATGCACCCCACATGTCCCTGGGAGTTTTTTAGCATCATCAAAGCCCACATTCTTTCTTCAGGTCTTTGTGAGATCCATGAGGATAGTGGCTACAGACCAGTGTATCTCCTTCTGTGTCTTCTAGCTACCACAGCAACCATATACCTTGCCCATTGAGGTCTCCACACCTCCTCAGAAAGGAGTGAGAGAGGTGGCAGTCATAAATGAACCCCTTGGTGGACATGCTTTTTCTTATTAGCAAGGCATTCTGCTGTATCCTGCTCCCACCATCCCACAGTGGGAACATGTGATGTATCCACCATCCCAGGCCTCTGCTATGACAGCCAGCACATGAGGAAATAGCTTGGAAAAGGGGTTCAGATTGTAAATAACATGTCATTTTTCTTAAAGAAAATATTTTCTTTGAAGTGGATCATTTTTCTAACCAGTTTCCTTGCACAACCAACTGAGAACCCAAGGTAGCCTGGACCAAGAGTAGGAAATGTTAAAGGTGACTGAAACTACACTGCCACGTAGTGGCTGCCTGTGAGCAAATGGCTTGTGCCAGATGCTGATGGGGAGAAGGAGAGGTGACTCAGTGTATGAAATACTTGGTCATGGAAAGGGCACTCATGGCGAAGTGAGGCTCCCGAGCTTGGCATGCAAAGCCTGACAGGGTGCAGGAGTCAGCACTGGAAGCTGGAAGACTTCAAATTCGGAGAGAACATAGCTTCCTCCTAGTGAGGGTCACTGGATATGGGAGGGGATGAACTTGCATTGACTTGGGTTAGTTAGGAAGAGATGAAGCCGTAAGACACTCTTAAATCTAAGATTTGAATCTCTTCTGCTTTTGTGCACAAGAAGTCAGATGAAATTCTTATAATGAGTCCTCCTCAGAGGTAAGAGAGGCAGGATGCCAACCTAGACGAATGGAAAGTTGTTGCCCTCCTTAAAGTGTCCTCTATTGCGTAGACTGGATGATAGGTAGTCTTGTGTCTAAAGAGCGTGCAGATAGGATGATTTACTGGAGACAGTAAAAAAATACCACAATTCTCAAATTATTTTTGTTTGCACTAAACACATTCATGCCATGGACCCCTCTGCACTGAGCTGGAGGGACTTGTCCAATCTGTTCTATGGGCTTTCTGAGCAGTGCAAAAAGATGCTAAGGTCAAAAACCTCTTGCCAGCCACACCAGCCATGGAGGGTGAAGCATAGCCCACATCTCTGGGTAATTTGCTGTGTGAGACATGGCAAGCAACAACTCCCTGAGGATCCCAGAAGGCACAAATTATTCCAGGATGTTCTTCAGGCAGAAATCCTGCCTCCAAAACTAAATTGAAATCCTTCCCAAAGGACTTCTGCGCTCTTGTCACATCTGTACCCTGTCTCTACCCAGGGGATCTTTTTACACCTTTCTAAGAAGTGCTCCTCACTGCAACCACAAGCCAGGTTTTATCAAGCTTTTTTTTTTTTTTTTCCCCTATCGATAGCATTTTGATTATCCAGAAAGCTTAGTTTCATGCTCTCCAGCACAGACAGCAATGCCTACCAGCCATGTGACTTGCACATATGGATATGCATGCCTGCAGACAAGACCCTCTGCAGCCTCAGAAGCCACAGAGAGGAGTCTGAAACACCTCCACCCAGCAACTACAAAGAGAAAATTCCCTTTTCACCCTCAGCCCCTTGCCTTCCCACCAGTTTACCTGGTGTCCTTTCTGAGCCTAGGGAGCACACTCAGGGCAGGTATAGCTGCCAAGGGCTCGGCTGGGACACATGCAAGTAGCATTGAGGCTTTAAAGTAGATTTTCAACCCATGATGGATTTCATCTTTGCTTAGCAGCTAATTACTGCCAAAGCCACGAATCACACCGCTCAAAATGATTCAATAAGGGAAATAATAATAATAAGGGATAGGCTTGGGGGGGTCCTTTTAAATTTGAGAGGTGATGATTCCTCTTCCCTGAGCCTCTGGTTAACACAAGGACCAGCACGATGCTTCCCTCCCACCACAGCCAAAGAGTTGCACTGGGCAAAATCGGAGGAGCAATCCAGCAACAGGTCAACCCTGCCCTGTGCCGTCAAAGGCTGCCAGCAGATTAACGTGGAAGCACTCATGGAAAATCTGCAGCAGCTCTGGCAGGCTTGGCTGCATTTATAATTATAGCTACAGGCTTCATCGCGAAAGGAACCAAATATGTGATGTTTGTTTCTGAGGAAGAATGGGAGGAGACTAATGGTAAAGGAGAGGGAGCGGGAGTGCGGAAGCAGGGAGAGGGGAAGGAAGAGAGCTGAGCCCTGCAGAGTTTGCAGAGACCTGCAGAAAATCACCTAAAGAGAGCAGTTCAGAGCTCAAATATTGTGCAGTGCTTTGACAATCTTCTGGTTTATGGCACACTTAACAAAGTGTTTTTACATTTGCTAGGCTGGAATGTCCATTTTACTATAGACTCGCTGCTCCGTCGCTAGTAGTTTAGAATTTGGACACGTGACAAAAATGTGTGTAACGCATTTTTTAAAGTGTTGATTGTGCTCGTAATTTTTAAGTCAGAATATAAAATAAACATCTCTGCCCTTTCTTCCAGCAGGCAGCACAGAGATCTGCTCTCCGCGTTCTATCTGACAGGTACATTTTGTCATTTTTATGAACTATAAATTGCTTTATGAAACGTTGAGCCCTATTTATTGTGGCATATAACTCATAATCGGATTTTGTCCCCAAAGTATCTGTGAACTGGGATGTTAAACATTTTGCATGCTTGGATTTGTCATGCATGTGTAGAGTTTATTACTGCAAAAATCACAGTCTTGTTGTATTTCATACAGAGTATGCAGAATCCCTTGTTGTGATACCAAATGAGAGATAAGAAACTTACTGGTGAAGGCATGAATGATGCAGTAAATTCTAGGCTTTAGAGCTCGCTGAGATATATCTAAGCTCATTTTTCAGCAATAAGTACTTCATTTATTTTGAGATGTTCTCTTTTGACTTTTTCCAAATTCTTTCTCTGGGAATTACTCTTCTTTTGACAAGATTCTCTGTACATTTTATGCACAAAAACAATGTTTTTCTTTGCTCCTGAAGTTTTGAGGGATTGCTGGTTTTGAGGAATTTAATTCCTTTTTTCCCTCATCTGGAATGGCAGTGGTGCTTCAGGTAGATAAGCAGGGGACCAAATCCTTAGACAATACTCAGGTTTTACTCAGCTGTTTTTTTTCAAGCCAAATGCCATTAACTTCACTGGGAAACTTGCCTGAGTGAGGAATTCAGGATTTGGGCCACCGTAAATGTTATAGTTGGGCCATAGGTCTGCGCAGGTATTTACCTTAAATGACTTTCATGAAAGAGGGTTGATTGAAATAGAAGGCAGCTTTCTAAAAGGGCCCTGGTTCCTGTCCCAGTCTGGGGAGCAGGGGGAGGGAAGGGCTGCACGTTTTAGTGCCTGTGAAAGCGGGCGAGCAGATTTACATTTATCCACAAATGAGGTACTGTGTCATGCCGGCTGACACGGAGTAAATTTCCCCCTGCCTTGTTGGCAGCCCCCTCGGCCGCGCCTGGCCCCCCGCCTCCCTGGGAATAAGCAGTAATTGACTCTCCAAGGCGGCTCGGGCCAGGATTTCGCCAGAGCAGAGCCTGTCACTTAGGCTGACTTATATGTTGTGCATGGATGAATAACATTTCTCTCCGCTCTGAGGCTGAGTCCGCCAAAATTACCAGCCTCCTTCCTCCCACTCCGCTCCACAACAGTTTACAAACACAGTTTTGTTTAGATTTTTATTTTTTTCTTTTTTCTCCCGCGAGGAGAACATTTCCAGAGTGAGATGTGTGGGATCTGGGTGAAGCCGCTGTCCCGGTTGTGGGGCAGGCGAGGATTTGCCATGATTGCGGTGAGAAGGAAGAGGCAGAGCAGCACCGCGCTCCTCCGCCGGCATGTGCCTGCTCTCCCGGGCAGCCTTTGCCTTTGCTGGGATCACTACTTTTCTCATCATCAGTCCCTGGAGCTAAAGAAGGAATATTCCTGCAGGGCTGCCCCTCGAGAGAGGGGGGGTTAATGAGCTTAAAACCCCGTGTGGCACTTTCCCCCTTTCCTGAAAGACAGGTCCTCCCTCACAGGTGGCCCAAAGGCTGAAGGTTCAAAGTGCATGGAGTTGCCCTTCACACCTCGGGTTTATTATTTATGGTCAGGCTTCCTCTACCTCCCCTGCTCCCCTCCTGAAAGCGCCTCTGGAGGCTGAAGATTTCCCACCTGCTCTGCTCTGCAAATGTTCATGGCTCAGGCTGCCTTCCTCTGATCTTTCTCAACCATGCACCAAAAAAATGTGAGCACACCCCAGGGGAAATGTCTCCTCACCTCCAAAAATTTAACTATATCGAGCAAACAGAGGTCAAGGGGCCTTCAAACAGGAGTTTCTGTCTAATCCTGGCTAAAGCATGGATACACGTGATATTGCCCTTCACTCCTTGTCTCCCAGGAGCAACTAAGGGCTCCTGGTCACATACTTCTTATTGTCCAAAGACTGGACAGTCCCTTTTGCCTTGACGTGACAGTTTAAATAAACCTCTTAGTTATTTCATCTGCTCTTTTTTTGACAAGATTCCCCAAGTATTCCTGTTTCAGTTTTCACTTTCAGAATCTCTTAAAAAAATAATAGTTTAGCTAAACAAGAAAAGGAAAAAAAGGGCATTTTTAAACCTGTAGCCATTGATTTCCTCAGTGGATTGCACTCAGTCTTGTTTTCAGCATGACACAGTAACCCCCAGCAGATTTATGTGCAAACACAAAGATTAGTGACCCAGAATCTTGACTGAAACAGCTTTTCTGCTTCCAGAAGACAGGTTGCTCTGCACATGCACTGACTATTTTGCAGGAGTCTCTGTCAGGGAAGATGCACTGGCCCCATTAGGTTTTCATTCTCTCATGAAACTCTCAGTGTTTATACTGCACAGCTTGGCTTTAATTTTATTATGCTCTTCAGTAAAGTGGTTCAACTGTACAGAGCATTCAGTTTCTGGGACAGCAAAGAACATGAACTTAACTCATACACCTTAATGGCAGAGTGCTCCAGCATATCTCTGACCATCTGATTCTTATATTCGCTGCCTGAATAGCTTTCAGATTAAGAAAAATGCTTATTTCTAAAATATTAAGTTATTATTTATCAGTAAGTAGTGTAGTTAAGCAAGGTCTTAAACCTGCTCAATCCCACTGAGCTAAATAGATTTTACTATTGACTCCGTCAGTCCCAGAACTTTGACCTTATTGCTGAATTTAAAAGCCCTTTTTTTTTTTTTTTTCAGTGTGTTCCACTAACCCAAAAGCATTTGCTTTGTGGATAATTTTGCAACGGAGAATGTCCAGCTGTAAATTACAGATTTTTGCAATCATACCCAAACACAACACTCATTATTATTCTTCTGTTCTTTTTAGGCTGAAAAGCCCACCATAAGGGAGACCTTGCAGTACTTAATCCACACATTAAACTTGCTTGCAGCTCATATTCATGTGCGAGATAAGATTTTTCCATGAAGTAAAGATTTACAGTATCCTAGGGCATTTTATTCCCCTAACTACTTTTATTTCTCTCTGCTATAGTGTAGGCCAAGTGAGTCTGAGAATGCTGAATGCTTAAGGAAAGCCTTACACCACCACTGAATTTCTTCTTTCATTGCAAGAGAGAAAAGATAGCTCATTCACTGTGGTGCTTGGGCAAGTCTTCCGAGATATGCTTAGTTCCCTGTTCAGATATATTATCCTTTTTGTGCACTCATCCCAGAGGATGCAGGCAGACCTTATTCGCTCTGCATGTACTAACCTCAGCCCAGGAATGCAGGACAGAGATGGAGAGTGCTCGAGTTCAGCCTAGTAGCCATATGGCCGTGCTGGCAAGCCTTCCCATCTCAGCCCATCAGTCTTGTAAGGAGTCCAGCTTACTTAGCTTATGCTCAGCACCTGGTTAGTATAAATATGGTTCATCCAGACCTGAACTATGGTAGAGTTATTTGATTTACCACCTCGAGCTGTTGATAGATCAGGCATCTCAATGCTAATCTCCATTTTGCAATGTAGACAAGCAAATGTGTGACATCTGGTGAGCTACACAGCCTATCTGAGCTCCCATCAAGTAGAAGGAATGGGACTGTGTATTTCTGTGTAGCTGTGGCTTGTTTATCCGTATCTCATCGTGGTTAGGACATCAAAATGCAGAGTGTGCATGAGCTGGTTTACCCTAAAGGATAGTTCAGCCCAGGTGAGCTTTATACAAGACCAGGAGAAGAGACAAACAAGTTCAGTGTCAGGTAATAATATCAGGAACTGTGCAGCGGGTCATGACACATGGTGGTGCCACGAGGTGATCTGAAAGCAGAAGTGCTGCAGAACCAGCTTTCAGGTGCATCCTACACACGGTAGCACTCAGCTGTGATGAGGCCAGGCAGGAAGGGATGGTGCAGGACAACCTGGTCCTTCCCGCTGATATTGCAAGCAGCCATGGCGCTGTGATCAGCCCAGTGGGGTTGGAGCATGGCTCTTCACCTGTGAACAAAGCCATACTGAGCTAGACTATTTGAGTTAGTAGGCCTGGAGAGGAGCTGCCTGAAAGGATTAAGGCAACAATAGGCAGTAATTTAAACTTTTAACAGGTCGCGAAAACAGGGAAAGCAGCTGTCCAAGCAGTCTTAAAATTTGTGGACAGAGCCAAAGATTTCTTGTTCTCAAGTATCTACTTGAACTGTGATCAAGCAAAGCAGTTAAGCTTGTGTGATACTCTAAAGTAAGCAAATAGACCAGTGGCAGCTAGCAGAAATACTCATGTGCTTCATGTCACCCACGTATTCATGTTTGTGTTGGACTGTGTTTTTTGATAACATCACCTTTCACACTGCGAGAGTCCTCCACATGGGAAGCTACGTGGTCAGCTTATCAGCAGAGTGACTCAGCTAGCTGGCCAGCAGGAAAGACTTAGTGTGACAGGTCTGTGTAATCAGTAACAGCCAAGGGGAAGCCTTGGCTTGTGGCACTTGATCTGGCTCCCAGCAGAAAATGAAGGAACTGAGATCATGGGCTTCACAGGATGCTAAGGCTGGCTGGAGACCAAGGTGCACGCACCGTGTTCTTTGTCACCAAGACAAATGCACTGCTCTAGCAGTTCTTAGTGAATTGATTATACGTCCCAGATTACCTCTGCATGAAAAAAAAAAAAAAAAAAAAAAATACTTCTGTCAGGAAATAGGGATTTACGGTTTGTTCCCTGGTTGAAAGCTTGCCTGGTGTTTGGAATCACTTGTGTCCCACAGTCTCAGACCTCCCACATGCTGCAGGGTAGCAAAGGCAACTGCTATCACATCTTGTGGCAGAAATGATCTAGGGCACTTATTTCTCAGCCCTCCTAGCTGCAGATCTTAAAGGAATAAGAATAACGATATGCATTATATATAGGATACTATTTCCACTATTGTATACCAAGCCTTTCCTGGTGTGCGCTAGAGAAAAAGGGCTCTAAAAGAAAACTAGTGGGGAAGGTTTGAAGTGAAAAGGAATGGGTATCTCTGGAAAACTGGGACTCTATTTCCCTTCATTTATCTTGTGAAAGAGATCTGTAGGCACCCATCTGCTCCTGGATGTCTTCCCATAGCTTGGCTACTGCTGCTATTTGGGTGGAATGACTCTACAATAGCACCCAGGGACAGGATTTGGATGTGCTGAGCAGAGCTGTCTGAGGAAATTTTAGTGATTTTGAGCCCTAGCTAGATTTATTTTCAATGATTACTGAGATTCCTGTAGTGCTTAAGAAGTGTTTGCTAAGTRGAAATGTTAAGATTTTTTTTTTCTTCAAGTAAGTTAAAGCAGTTAACCATGCATTTCCCACCTCCCCACAGGAAACCCATTACTTTCTCAATAGCACCCCAGTGATATTTGAGAGGAGACAATAAGATCTAATTCAGAAAAACAAATGTATTTTGACAAATATTCATCTTCCACAAGGAACGTCTGAACTAGTAGGCTTACTAGTTCCTTTAGGAATTAGTGTGTAGATAACTACATAATTAACGTGGGGAGGGAGAAGCAACAAGGTGCAGGTCTGCAGTCTTTTGCATAGTAAGGAGAAGACAGGTCCCACTGCTGGCTGGCAGCAAGAAGAATATGCAAAGTGCTATTGGGAAGAAGAGCGTGTATGTGTGCAGCATATGAAGCGCCTCGGCATATGATTAACCTCCCTGGGTATGTAGTAAATAGTAGATAACTGCGATCAAAAAAGTATTCATGTGATTTACCAAGCTGAGCAACTGTGCACTTTGCAGTGAAGCAGGAGGTCAATCCTGAAATCTAGGGCAAGTAGAGCAATAGGAAATTGCAGGGACTAAGAAGTTAATCATACCATTGGACTGCTTCCATCTGGTTTTGAAAGACAGAGTCAGCTCAGTGCTAGCGAGGATGCTTCACAGTAACAGATCAGGAATTAATTTTTTCAGCAAATCTTCAGCTATCATTTGCAGTAACACGGGCTTATAAAAATGTAATTTAATTTCATGGGAATAAATCACATAGGACAAGAAGTGTGACAGTGTTTTTCTAATATGTGAATCTGGGGGGGGAAAAAAAGTGAGAGCCAGGGAAAGCAGAAATCCAAGAGGAAACAAACATTAACAATATGAAACCTGGAGGGCATAAATGAGTGTCTGGTTAAATTGTGCAGGCAATTACCTTTGAAAAATCAGTTTGCAATTGGGAAACTTCACACTTTTATGACCCTTGGCATAATCTTCTGTAACCTGTCTGCCCATCTTCATCACCACGGGTCAAAGGAGTGCTGACTTAAAGTGTTGTTGAATTGATGCTCTGAACATAACTTCCATGTATCATGAGTACGGAGCCAGCTGTGGGCAGTGAATTTGTTAATGAATAGTCTATTTTCTTCATTATTGATCCTACTTACTGTCTTTCAATGAGACCTGACTCTTGTGGTGCCTTGGACAATGCCTATCCCTAAGGCAATGAACATGTTGTAAAACAAAGGAGATTTTAACCTTGATGACAGCAACACTAGTGCTAAAACTTGCTGTACAGGAAGAGGTGGTGAGGACAGCTGATAACATTTTGCCTTTCTTTGGGCTGGTTTCAACAGTGGGATAAAAGAATAGAGAGAGCTGTACTATGAATGATGTATTGTGCTATTTTAGTGCTATGCTGCAAAAGTGAAATCTTATAAATACATTTGTATCTATTTCTTGGCAGCCTGAAGAAGGGAAAGCTCAGGTTTACCCAGCACTAATCGCAGGAAATGAGGGCCCGTGCTGTTCCCACAAATCACCATACTTTCATTACCACCTTATTTTAAGAAATGCTTAAAATTTGTTACAAATTCGTGGCCCCTTGGTGGGGTCCAGTTACATGAYGTTAACACGAGACTTTTGACCCTCATGTGTTGGTGAATCTCACTCTAGCTCTAGCGCGGGGAGTCTCCAGTGTAGGTGCAGCAGTGCCAAGGAGACATTGCTGTTCCCTTGCCGGGAGCCAGTTGTCCATGAAGCAGATGGAAGGAGATCCCCCCTTCAAGCTTTAATCACTCAGAAATCAGCCAAACACAACAGGGCTTTCTGGCATCAGCCCCAAAAACTCCATGGATGACATGCTTCCCATAGTCGTTTTTTTCCAGCCTCTCGCTAAAGCAGTTTTGAAATCCAAATTGAACTTTGAGGTTTGCCTTAGTCACTTGAAAGGCTATCTGCTTACTACCCTTTTTAAAAAAAAAAAAGAAAAAAAATGATTTTTTAGATTTTCTTTGCAGGCGACCAAAGGTGAGTAGGTACAAGGAGCCCTTTGGGCGTTCACCTCAGGTGCCAGTGTGCAACTGAATCGGGCCTGAGACTTTGCTTTAGCAAAATCACAGTGATAAGTCTGAGATGCTTTTCCTCCTTATAAAGTCTCATTAGGTGTCTTCCTCCCCGCTCCATTTTTTTTGTTGTTGTTGTTTTTTTTTTATTTGATGTAGTTTGCAAGAAGAATTTCATCMTTTTTCCTGTCTTTGACTTGTAGAAGGGGAAGATTTATTCTGCCATTGAGGGAGGACTTCCCACTGTTCTAGATGTCTTGCATTTCTGGGAAAGAAATTAAAAATGTGATCTTCAAACAGCCTGGGTTTCCTCCCAAAGAAGAATTGGAACATTTGTGAAATCTAACGGACTTC